TTTCAATGGTTGTTTAGCATTCAGTTGTGATTTCATTGTAGTCACAAGGCGAGGCGAGCTCGTGGTCCTACCACTCCACCATCTTGAGTGGAAGATCCAACCTTGTGTGAATTTATATATATTTACACTTATACTGTCCTTGCTAATTATATAGGATTATTCAAATAAAAATACAGGAATGTAAATAACACTTGGTCCACTTATAAATATAAATAATAATTTCCATAAACTTTCTAATATCTACTAACATATACATCTTCCAAAAAATAGTAATTACAGTGTTATATTTTGAAATCATTTCCCATGGCCTCACTTTCTGCAAAGAAAAGGATAGTTCTTGTTGAATCATTCATTTTTATTTCTTAACTTTAATAGAAACTTTTTCAAGATAAGCATGCTGAAGTAACAAGTGATTTCTCATGAGAATTTTCAAATCAGGAAGAGACAGTATATGTTAAACATTTTATTAATGAATCAACTTGCAATGAATATACTTGAATTTGTTTTTTCACGGAATGATATCTGATAATTTGTTGCATTTTATAAAACAGATCTTGAGTATACTTTAGGGACAGTATAAAGTAAAACTTGTTCATGCAAGGAACATTTTGCTGAAATTTAAAATAAAAGTCACTGAACTTGGAATAGTAGGAAAGCTGGCAAGAAGATATCTTTGATGTGGCAATATAATATTGGGACAAAAACATTGGCCTGGTTAGACTTTCAAAGATTTGAAGGTGAAGGAAGATTGGAATTGCACATACTAATTTGGTTTAGAAAGCCTGGAGCAAATAAGGCCCTTCATGTTTAAATCCTAATTTTAAATTAGCAAAATGTTTCTTGTGAAGATAAAAGTAATTGGAGAATTTCTGCTTGTGCACTTGGAACTCAGACAGTATTTTGACCACTAGTTGATGATGGATTTTTTGTTGTTTTGGTTTGGCATAATATTACCAGGATTTGTGATTTTTGTTGTAATTATTCACTAGATGTGATGTTGGAAAAGACGTAACCACTGCTCCACAGCAAGGTACGTGACAAAGAATATCTGGCAATTTTTTATACTATTTCATTAAAGGAAATTATTATTTTAAATTTAGAAAAGTAACCTCTTGTCTTTGACTAATTATTTTCTTGCAAATCTCAATCAGCTAGAAAGTATTTGGCACAAACTATATAAGGACAGAAACTTTTCAAAGTATTTTTAAGTACTTTTTGTTTTACCTCCCAAAATATTGCATGTTGTCTTTAATATAGTAAGCCCAAAATAAATAAACAGTGACTAATATTTAAAAACAAAAATAATATAATGAAATTTATGCTTTTCCGCTGAAAATTCAACCAGCTAATTCAATCTAATTATAGCACTGAAATATTTGTTGTTAGCAAAGTCAATGGACTTTTCTTTAAATGAGCAGACAAATTTGAGATTTGTATCACTAGTTTGTTTGTGAATTATGAAACTACAGAGATAGTCCAGGTAGAAAGATTGTTCTATATCAACAACCATTTGTCCTCAGGTACATTTATGTATCTATTTATTCAACAGATACTTACCAAATGACTGCCACCAAAAGCAATGGAAGAAATTAATCAATAGGGAAATGTATTGGTCTGACTCAAGGTCATTTATTCATTCAACAAACAATCCTAGCCAGGTAACACTGTCAGTCTCCAGAACAGTGAAAGGAGATAATAAATTTTTGGACTAAGTCACTAGGTTTTGGGGCTCAAAAACTAGTTTGCTGTGCAGTAACAAATAACAAATGCTTTTTAATGTTTTTAATGATACTCCTAATAAGAAAGAGCTAAATATATAATGAAATAATTCTGCTTTGTGAATATTCGTATAACTATGTAGCCTCTACTTGATTAAATAGATATTTAGCATTCATGTCTGGGACAACTGAACTCTGAGCAAATGAACAGTGCTACCTTTGTCTCTTCCTTCAGGTAGGCTGGAAATAGTGAGATGAATTAGC